GATAACTGTTGAGTAGACTGGAGCCTTTCACATTCTATAACGAGCACCGTAAAGTGCACATAGCAATAACGGTAAACATAGGTACTTTTCGTACTAAATGAATTGAATCATTATGCGTAATTATAAAATTATAAGTAAATCTACTCTAGTATGAATGGCGTTGAGTGTAATATAATAAACATTTAATTTAATTATTATCATAAATCCATTTATAGCTAACAAAATTAGTGGTTAGCAAATAGTGATTCTCCTTTAAAGAGTCTTCACCAAATGATATTTTATTTCACGACTTATTAGTTGTTTTACAAAATATTTATACCTACATTTATCATAAATAAAAGAACACTTTGTAAAATACAAACTTTTGAGGTTTACTCAATAATAATTAATAGTGAAGAATTATCATAAAACGTTTAAATTTATGTATTTATAAGTATTTTACTATTACTGAAAAATTGATCGACTTGTATAATCTTTCTTTGTAGTTATTCTAATTTTATAGCTATATTTTTACTTAAAAACTATTCTGTAACTGACTCAATTATAGTTATTATAACCTTAACTATATTTTTTATGTATTTTTTTAAACTACATTTTCTATATTATTTAAACCAAATAAAAAAAAAATATAAAAACTTTATTCAAAATATATTCAGTTTTTTTATAAAATAAAAACTAAATACCTCGGTAAATAAATGTTTTGTTCTTATAAAGGTTACAAATGCGAATTGTGATATTATCTTATATTAAATACAATACTAATAAAAAATCATAAATATTTTTATAGAACACTTTTGTTCAAAGTTTATAAACATGTTTTTATATTGTTTAAAATATTTATGTTTATAATATATATATATATATATTGTTTATCATGGATATATGTCAATTTTATAATAAAATTACATTTAAATGTGATCTATGTGTTACACTATATTATACCTTGACGTATTATCTTAACATTTTTGTTTTTTTTTTTAAATAATTAATATAATGTTAATCTGTATTTCAAATGTTATTTACCGATATTTATCTAACATGTTATTTCTTAAAATTTAGTTGAACTTATGATGTTTTGGCATTTTTATGTACTTACCCACCGTATTAAGGGATTACTTACACAGTGACCTATGAGCCGTACTACATGGTGTCTTTACGGATACGTTGGTAGAGCTCATAAGTTTTAATTCAATAATAATAATGATAATAAAAAAAAAAAAAAAAAAACTCGAATATCTAATGGCAAAACAATGTATTCATAAAAATAATAATAATAGAATAATTTGGGCGTCCAATGGCGATACAAAATAATAATAGTAATAGGAAATTAAGAATGACTGGTGGCAATGTAGTATGATAATAATAATAGTAAAAATAATTAGACCTTTTTTTAAAAAAGAAAAGAAAAGAAAAAAAAAAAGGAGGTAAAAGGGAAAAGACAAGTATACATTATGACATTGATGAAGTCTTGAGTTGGTGTTCTTATTGGTTGACCATTCGCCCTGCCGAGGACCCATGACAGTTGATTAGTCCATCTTTATTGGAGAAAAAAACAGCGTTATTTTTGGTTTGAAAAAAATATTTTAATGTGGCAGAATGTAATTGTTAGTTGCAAAAAAAAAAATAGAAAAAAGAAAAATTGAGGTTTTTTTCATTTCACAAAAAATATTGACGTACTGATTTATAGTTGCTCAAACCAGCGGTCGCGTAAAAATAATGAAGCTTTTTGAATTGGTTTTCTTGGCTATTGGTTTATAGGCTATGGTCAGCATATTGCACAGACTTCTATATTACACTAGATAAGGAACTCGAAGAATATTTTGAGGATTTACTTATTAGTGTCCGCCATTTTGTTGGATAGTAAAACATTGACATTGGCTATTCATCTACATAGCTCTACAAATTGAATATTATTACAAAATATAATATTCAATAATATTCAATAATTTCTTTTTATATTTTTTTTTATCTAAAGTAATTAATTAATAATATTTATAGTATTAATAAAATTATTTATAAACATTTATGTATAGTATTATATATATATAACCTAATACCAGTGTCGATATTAAATCAATTTTTAGTATTGCTCGTGAACTCTCTGAAACTTCTAAATACAAATATTTACTTACATACAAATTTTCTCAAAATCACATTGACTTACTTTTTTCAAAAATTCGAATAAGTTTTGGAAATAACAACAATCCTATCGTGATAGAATTCAAAACAGCAATAAAAAAGTTATTACTTAAACATTCAGTTTCATCGTCTTATGCTGCTAACTACATTCTTATGGACAGTACAAATACTGAAAGTATTTTTGAAATTCGTTGGGTAAAAACAAAAAGAATCTATAGATACTAAGGATATTATATTTGATGAAGTTAGTGATACTGAACTATTAGATTTAATTCCAAACAACTATGGTACAGACTTAATTAAGGAAAATATATTATGTTATATAAGTAGATTTATAGTTAGAAGTATCTACTTGAAAATTGATTGCGATACATGTATAGAAATTCTTATGTTTCTTCTAATTATAACTATTGTCATGCGTATACATTTTCTGTTTTACTGTATGTTAGAAATAGAGGAGGGTTGATAAAAAGCTCAATAGCTGTAATGAAAATTGTAAAATTTGTTGAAATTACATTATCTAATATCACTAGGTAATAATTTTCAAACATAAAATAGTGTGTAAGTTCTAAAATAATAGTTTATATAAAAAAATGATGTGTATAATAATAACATTTTTCATAATTTGAACTGCTGCGACGATTGGTTATTGAAGAGCCATACATTTAATTTAGATACTTTAAATGTAAACAGTATTAAAAAATTCGCTTACATCATCTGGCTTAGTCGAAATTATCCAATACTGTTAGTAAGCGCCGTTTACTTACTAAGTTGATTTTATTTAATAATCAGTGAAAACTAAGTATTAACAATAAAAATAAATAATTTTGTTTGATACATTGGACTTCAAAATATTAATTAATACCTAATATTAATTTATTAGTATTTTATATACCTATTATAAATTGTATTATAATATATTATATTATTTAATTATATATTTAAATATTACATAATATTGATCACTTATTAGTTTTTATTAAGTTAATAAATGAGAAAGTATAAAATATGGACTTTGTTATTTTTATTTTTTCCAAATGTTTAAAATATTCATTTATATTATGCGTAATGTATGTAGTTTTTTTCCAACCGACAAAATGGGGCCAACTGCTACGCGAGCTTCACTGATAACAATATAAATTATATAGAAGTTCCTTATCTAGTGTACTATAGAATTCTGTGGCATATTGTTGTGGGACAGTCCAATATCGGCGTCGAGAGGGAAGTTTACAATATTTGGGGACGTTATGCATACCTGCATGTCGAAGCAACGCGTCAGTGACGACGGTACCTAGCAACGATAATGTCGTAAGGACTTTACATTTATCTATATGTGAAAGCGGAGGACATTGGATATTTATATTATTATCTGCTTGCGCCGGATAATATACTTTTAATTATTTATACTAATATTACATGGATATGAACTATTTTTGTTGACTTTTTTTTTGAATAGAATAGAAATCTAGAATTTGGGGACGTTACAAACTAAAACATAAATTAAAAGAATCTGATATATTGAGAATTTTCCGAGGTTTAGTATATTTTAGATTTTAATAAAATATATAGGTTCCAATTGTGTTGTGAGCGAATGCCAGCTCTGAATATCAAAATTAATTACAAGTTAATCGAAATTCTATACGAATAAGAAAATATTAGGTAATTTTTATTTTACATTTTAAAACTCCTGAATGCATGACACACTTTAGAAACATAAGGTATTTATTTCTGAATTTTCGAAAACCTGTCGCCTATAAGTATTGATAAACTAGCTCTACTTTGTTTAGCTTTAACATATTTTAAATTAGATTAAACCATAAATATTTTTTATTTTTTTTTTTTTCACTTATTTTATAATTTATGTAAAGATATCATTTACGATAATTAAGTAAGAAAAATACAGAAATTCAGAGTACAATATTATATTATTTTTTTTATAATGTTTTTATTTTAATATATAAAATGGCTATTGCGAGAAACTCATAAGATAATATTAACTATATAGTACAATATATTTGATTGCTAAAAGATTCATTTTTTAATGGTTAAAAAATATTATGACTCGATTTTTATTTATTTTAGCTATATAATGAACTACTGATTATCGTTTCATTTAAAAAATAATATTTTTACAAAATTAGATAGATAATGATTATAATTATTTTGTTATATTTCAAAAATATTATTCATAGAAACTTAACATTTTTCTCCATTATACATATTATAATTATTATAATTTACTTCAAATAACGAATATTTAAATTAATTAAAATACAAATATATATATATTATGGACTTATTCGTGCCGTCTAGTGATATGCAGGGATTGGCTTATAAGAATAATAGGTACCTAGTTATATTATATAAAATAATATTTGAGCAACCATTGTATATTTATTTAACATAACTATAGGATTTATAGTTTATATTAAGTTAAAGTTATTTCAACCATTCACATAATAAATAAATTTAAAAACATACTAATAGTAATATAAATATATAGCTAAATATTTTTAGAAATATGGTGGTGAATCAGTTCGTCTCCGCTCATAATCATTTTACTTATAACATTATTTATAACTAATTTCAAGATAAGTGATAACCATATCCATTATAGTGACATACTTATCAAAAAGATTACATCTACTATACAGCATAACAACTTCCCTAGTTTTCATAATTAAAATGGTTTTATCTCTACAAACCGGCATTCTAATACATTGTACAATTTGTTATGTCATATACTTAATATTTATACATATATCAGTATGATGATAGATTTACTGAGTAATTTAGTATTTTGATATTTTGATATTTATCAATTATAATGAATAATCTATAATTTTTTTTATATATTTCAGATTCTGTACGTTATCACGCTACTATCAAATTAGTGAACATATCAGCTATTTTAAATGAAAACATCAATGAATATTTACAACTAAAAATTCTAAAATATGTAAGTATTTATTTCATCTCGTAGTTATACTATTAAATCAATAATTTGGTATTGAATCTGTTTAATATATGCAAACGACTTTATATAACTTTTAAATCAAAATGTGTTTAAAATTGAATTGAATTCATAAATATTTCTAAAATCTATTGATCAAATTATTCATTTCAGTTCAACTGTAATCATTTAGTTCAGTATATTTTAAAAATATTTTGTTACTACCTCACATGCTTTTGTAAAAAATACAGTTCTATTTACAGTTCGTACTCGCACTACACTGCATTGTACATTATTTACAATGAACAATGATATAGAAAAAAAAAGAGAAAAAAGGATGGTAAATCTTAAGGAATCTATAAAACAAAAGGGAAGTTCATTAAGCATTTGAAATTTGGATCTGTTTTAAAGCTGTGAACCAAAATGTAATTAAATCGGAAAAAGCGAGAGGATGCCTTGAAGCGAGCCGCCGCTCCTTAATTACCAACACTGGTTATTCGGAAAGCATACCATCGTTTTTGTTGCCTTCGACAATATTATATTTACTAAAATTATATATAAAAAATTATTTAATAAGTTTAATAGAAAAATCTTTAAAATATCATGGTCAAATCAGCTACATTTATTTCAAAAACAATTAATCGAAAAATTATTATTTTCGCCGTAAAAAACATTATTTTATAATGTTAATTCGATTTATTCATAGTAAGTTTTAACTATCTATTAAAACTGCAGTTATTAATTTCAACATTACACTGAAATTTATAAAACGAAATTATATTTACTTTTTATTTTTTTAAATTTTATTAGGTAATCTACAATCTGTACATTTTAGACACAAAAAGCATAAATTATATTTACTAAAATATTTTTATAAGTATTGCTATAATAGAGAGAAATTAATGTTACTACTACGTCATTATTATTAGCAATGATCATTTTATCTATGGGAAAGTTTCAGAATGTATCTACTAAGTTATTATTATGACAAATAAATGAAAATAAATATTTGATATTTATATAACAACTCAACATTGAAATTATAATAAAATTAAGTATTGTAACATACTATTATTAATATCAAACAATATAATGTCATATTACACATATTTATTTGGTATTCTACCTATTTAGACCCGAACGGACTACGAAGGACGCTAAAATCAATATTTTTATGATTATAATGACTAACACAGACAAACAAAACTTTTAAAATGTTAATCCTTTCAATCGCTATTTTGAATAAAATGTTTGATACCTGAAAACAAAAACATAATTTGAGATTTAGGTTATGTAAACATCTATATTCTAAAAATAAAAGTTAATTAATAATTGTGTTATATGATATACTATAAATTAAAATGTATCATAAATATAGATAATATTTATTACTACACATACTAAATATTACCATTGGAGAAGAGACAAACACATCCTACTACTGTGGATATTTAAATTAAATTAAAGTTTTTAAAAACATTGTTTTTACTGTATAGTTAAAGTGCCGCTACTAATTAATTAATTAATTGAATTATAACTCATAGGTATTCTAGGTAGGTATAAAAATAATCTATAGAGTCTATGGCCTAAAAGTTTGATAAATTAGCATTTATAGTAAATCACAGCTTCCAAGATAATCATTTAAAAAGTAACTCTATAGACGTCTTAAAAATAACTATACTTTTTATAGCGTCCTAATGAAATTAAAATATAAATTTCTTTACCATCCAAAAATTGTTTTCAATATTCTACATTTGTTTTTCAATTAAATTTTAATTTAATCACTTCACGATTTCAATTTAAAAAAATTTTGTTATAGATCGGTCTGAATTTAATTTTTAATTAATGTATTGTACATTTTTACATTAAAAATTACATATCTAAAGACCAAAGTTTGAAACTATTTAAAACTTGAGTGCATTATGCTATCGTGTAGTAATCAGCGGGTTGTAGAGTTAAAGGTAAATAATATAATAAATCAAGAGATCAAATTATGAATGATTACAATAATTGACGAAACATTTTCGTAATCAATAATCTATTTATTTTTATAAACTTCGCGTTAGTGCATGCGGCAACAGAAACAGTCATAGAAATTAATTCAAACGACATAATACATTAAGTATATAATTATTTTAAGTAGAATAGTATCATCTCCAATGATAAAATAGTAAAATATATTTAATTTTAACAGTTACATATATAGTATAAATACATTTTTAAATTACATTTTTTTTTTTTTTTTTTGAAGAATGGAAATAATATTAAGATTTTCATGGAACGCAACAGGAAATTTCTCAGTGTCTCGGTAGGCCAGTATGTACCTACACAATCAAGCCAGTTGATTAGAGTTTGATAGCAATACATTTTTGATATTCATGTCAATGTTATTTCATATTTTATTATATTTTTCTTTTGCTTAAATGCTTAAAATGGCAAATGATAAAGGATATCGATGTTGACTACTGAAAATTGTCACAAATAATTTTTTTTTAGATTTCTCAATTGACCCGATGACATTTTACTTTAACAAGCCATAGGCAATCATGGAAATAATATTGATAAAAGCAAAAATGATTGAAAGTCTATATCAGATTCATATAAACTGAATACAAAATTGATCTTGTCATAAAACGTCTTTAAATAATTATGATAAAATCTTTAAACACCATGAAAAAAATCAAAAAAATCACATAAATTATATCTCATAGTATATATACCATTTATCATTACAACCAAAACATAATTTTTATACATCAGTAATATTTTTGTGGTTTAGTGATCAACAATTTATCAAACGAAGATCCTACTACATTCTCATTAAAATCAATGTTTTTCATTACGTTGATAATAATTTATAGTCTAAGATACATATTATGTCTTTTATCGATCAACGTTTGTATAATTTCAATTTTATATTAAATTATCAGCAATATTTTAAGACTAGTATTATAATATTACTCAAAAATAATCTTTAAGAACTTTATAAAAATTCTAATACGTACATAATATATAAGTACATCTCAGTGTTACCTGCCTATTAAAAAAAAATATATTCAATTAGTTCTTTAAAAAATTCAAAGATTCTTTTCAAGATATTTGCTTTGCTAAGTAAATAATGTATTATATTATGATACAATTAAAGTAAATGGTGATAAGACATACAAAATATACATTGGTACATATTACGTTTCCAATGAAATGAAACAAGTGGCTACTAGTATTTTTTTGCTTAAAAATAATGAATATTAGGTTCAATAAAAGTTTATTTATCCGCAGATTATATTTAATCAACTAGGTATTTAATTTAATTTATTTTATGGCAATTTTAACTGAAGTTTTTTTTTTTTTTTATTTATTATGATACAAATGAGTAACCTTATTTTGGTTTTCAAAAAGTCATATTATATAAATAGCTTAATTCGAAAATACATCATATTTTAATTTGATTTAATAATATTGTATGTTAAAATTAATTTCCTAATTATTATTACAATTTATTTGATCCTTAGAATTGCATTTGAATCATTAAATTATTTATATATTCTAAAGAAACTAATTTTATTATGTTTTACAATACGACGGCTTTAATTATCTAAGTAATTTTCATTTTAAAATTATTTTTCAAGCGTTTAATTTAGATATCATTATTTTATGTTATTTATTTATTTATTTTTTGTTATCGGTTAATTTATGAAAAAAAGCATGTTTCTTTATTTTTTTCTAACCTTATACTTAATTTTATTTATTTCCAAATTTCATAGAAATTTAGGCATAAAAGTAATTTGAATTTCACTTATAGAATTTTTTTTTTTTTTTTTTAATAGTTTTATACGGTATGTTAAAAAAATCTAAACTTTTTTATTAATTAAGTTTCCTAATAAACTTCTAAAATGTAATAATTTGTATTTGGTAAAGAAATTTACATAGTTCTAAAATAATATTTTAAGATTTAATATTCTACATAAAAGAAAACATTTTCTTAAAATCAATTAATTTCAAACGACTTATGTATTGATGAATACATACAATAATACTCAAAAATAATTCATGTATGTTCACAATAAATCTACTATATTAAACCCCGTATATTATTAACTGCACACCTTTTAGTAAACCATGTTTCCTAACCATTCATCTTCTTGGCGATGGTGTAAGCTTTAAATTTGTTTCATTTTATTAGGAACAAAACAACTGTAGTATTTTAGAAAAACGTGAACAGTTTAAATGTTATTTTTATTTCTCTTTAAGTTATTTTATAAATAAACTATATAAAATAATAGAGTTGAGTTGTATATAGGCATAATGATAATAATAAATTATAATAAGTTAATTAATATATACAATTATTATTAGTAATGTAAACATAATATTATTATATTTTATAATAAACGAATATGTAGGTAGATGTAATATAATGTTTATACACACAAAAATGCATCGATTTTTTTTTACAACATAAAAATACAAGTATAATTTAATACATAGTAAATGCAATTTTACTAAGTAATTAAAAATATCAAATAAATTGTAATATAATGTGATAATTATTCTGTTGAGCTAATGATTTTACGAGTTTAATAATTAAATTCACCACTTCTATGTAATAACGTAGTTTTGCAAAATTAATTTAATGGGAATAATTAAGAAATTTGAAAAATAAAAACATGTACCTATAACATATTATTTTATATGCTTTTTAATATGATTTTATATGATTTTTATATTACAGTCTAGTAAACAATATCAATACAAAAACTTTTAATTTTAAAACTATAAAATGAAAAATTAAAGCTATCTAGTCATACAATATTTTTCTGATAGTATTATCGTCGACTTAAATAAAGTATAGAACTGATTTATTCCATCGCTTCAGTGAAATCATAATTTTAATAATTTATTTAATACATATTATAGGTCAATTAGACATTAAATTTGAAATATTTAAACTATTCTTGAACCATATAAAACAAAATAATTCAGTTTTTTAGAGTAAGTATTTGGTATATAGTTTATTTATTTTAAATATATCGTATAATAAATATATATATTTCAAGATATTTCTATTTTCTACAGATCTCGTAGAAACAATGGTATAAACACTAAGACATTTATTGAAAATTTCCACCTTTATCTGAGCTTATCACTATATTTCTGAACTTGTATTATAATTTTCTTAACGGTTACCTATTCACCAAATATCAATTGTATAGCAAATAACACTTAATTTGTTCTTTATTTTAAAAAAGTTCAACTCTTAACTACTTAATATGATTTTGTGAACCAGCTAACCTTATTGTTTTTTTTTTTTTTTTTTTTGAAACTTTGTTTTGATA